GATTACAGTCATTTCACTTTTTGTATTCATGTCAAATCATTAGGCTGCTATCAGCATGGGTGCACATATATATTACTGTAGTACGATGCTTTAAGTTCTGGAAAAATTCCCAGAAGTGGACTAGCTGACTTGAATGTGATCTCCAATCATAGCTTTTTGTGGAATCTTCACACTGATTTCCATAGTGGTTGTACCAGTCAGCACTCCCACCAACAGTGAAGAATGGTTCCATTTTCCTCACAGCTGCTTCCGTGCTTGTTATTAGTTGATTTATTGATGCTAGCCATTATCCCTGAGTACAATTACACTATAAAGCTATAGTGATAAAATTAGCATGTTATTGACCTAAAGATATACCTGAAGATCAAGGGAACAGTTTAGAAGATGCACACACAACTGAAAATACACTCAGCCACTTTATCTTTGACAAAGAAGCCAAACATGCTCATTGGAAGAAAAATAGCTTGTTTAATAAATGGTGATGGAGAAACCAATCTTCCACATGCCTAAGGCTAAAATTAGACTTATGTTTATCACCGTGCTTGAAACTACAGTCAAAAAGGACCAAATATTTAAATATTTAAAAAACCCTAATCTTCTGGAGGAAAATATAGGTAGAAATCTTCCAGACATAGAGGTAGGTAGAGAGTTCATGAACCAAAACTGAACTGCATTGGAAATACTTTAAAGAATCAACAACTGAGATCCCATATTTTTGAAAAATGTTTGTACTTTAAAGGAAATCTCCAGCAGGTTAAAATAAAGAAACAGACTGGGAAAAAATTGTCACTGGTTGTCCTCTGACAAAGGCTATTCTATCAAGATCATATAAAGGATTTTACAAATCAGGCCACCCATATTCAAAGACACAGTCCAAAATTGTTTATCTGAGATGAATATATACTTTTAATATGACAAAATAGAAATGGCAAGTATATACATGAAAAAAAAATGTTGAACATCATTGGTAATTCAAGAAATGAAAATTAAAGCAACACTAATACCATCTCCATAGTCTTCTTTGGCAGTCCTCATGTGTCTCTAGTAATATCTAAAAGAGATTTACTTGGAGACTCAGTGACAGCTGCTTTTATTCAGTGGACCAATGCAAATTTTCCAAGAAGCACTACTTTAAGAAATTATCATACTAATTTAAAAAGAAATAGTAAAATCAATGAAAATATAAATTCTAATGACCTCAGTTCATTTGCCTTAGTATTTTTCCCTTTGAAATGGCACTTTAAAGAATGCTTTTAAATTCTTACAATTTCTCTAAAATTTTGATTTTTTAAGGTTTGCATATGAAACTCACTAGAGTTCTGATATTGTGCCCATTTTTTCTTAATCCATACTCTAAAAAGAACTGAATCACACTGATATGACAATATTAAATATTTGAAACCAATGGGGATAAAGAGAAACACTCACTCATTTCTTTTCCCCAGAGTTGATACATGTGGGGTAAGATTCTACTGGGAGATCATTATCATTATTTGCTCCTAACTAGAGCCTTATACCCAGTAGATGAAATTTTCATGTCAGACTACCTTTGCAGAAGTTGATATGGCTTTGAGCATCAGTTTTATCAGATGTCAGGATTAGTGGCTCTATCAACATTTGGGGCTATCACAGCCTTGCCTTTTCAAAATTATTTTTCCTTTCAGAGCAAAAAAGAAAAGTCAAAAACTGAGATCTCTGGAAGCATAAGTGGTATGTCTCAATTACTGTCCTTGACTTTTAAAATTTTAGATTCTTTTCCTGCATTTCTTTCAGAGTAGTAACAGAGCTGCAGCTCCACTGATTTTTCTCTCCTAGTCTTCATCCTGAAAGCCACGCTTTCTGATGAGGACAGATTCTGTTATTGTCTCTCTATTCTCTACAGCATGAAATTATAATGAACATTTCTTTTTATTTTCAAATGTACTCAAGGAGGTGAGGCTTTTATTCACTGACTTTGAATCTGTATTATCTTTTCTCTAAGCTTTTTCCAACAATTTTGTCAAAGACATTATTGAGACATGCATTATGCAAAGCACTGTACCAGCACTGTACTGTTTTACAAATTATTGTGAAAGAAAACCTAATGTGACTCATAAAAGAGTGAGTTAAATATGTGCCAATGGTGAACATAAACATGTTTATCTGCAGATGGAAGATGATAGTATTAACTTGAATTTCTCTATCAGAGATCTTAACTAAAGGACTTTAAAATGTAGGATTTTGTGGCAGAAGCTAATCGGAGATGAAACAACTACGTGGATTAGAGCATTTGCAAGCAGATACAGGGGCCTGATGTTCAATTTCCAGGCCTGCTCTGCCAGCCCCGCCCCTGGGGTTCACTGAGATGGCAATTGAGACTGGGCATGGTAGCATGCACCTGTAATCTCAGCTCTTGGGAGGTTGCAAACAGTAGGATCACTATGAGTCTGATCTTGTTGTGAGATCCTGAACACCCTGTAGACCCTTCTTAATATAAAAAAAAAAAATCAGCATTTAATAAATGTGGTTTTGTGGATTCATTATGTCAGTTACAAAATTACAGTAACAATGCAGAAAATTTCATTATATTTCTCAACAGGCTGTGTTGTCCCCAGTCTGCATTAGTATCATAATAACTTTACTCCTGTTGAACCTATTTCTCTCATTATCTACTCTGCCTTCTTGTACCCTTCAGATTGTAAAAATTGAAGGAATTGAAATTCTACACTATTTATTTCCTTATTTCAAATATGCTGATAAGCATTTTGCTTGTCTTGTTCCTGTTAAATTTACTGTAATCTTGCATTTGTATACACAGAAACATACTCTATACATTTAAATATTGTTTTTCTTATCTAGGGTACTTGCACAGCCTGAAAGCATGTCCTGATGAAAATATTTGCGTTTGTTATTGATAATTTATTTATCTCAAACATGAAAATGTTTATTCAGATACTAGGTCATTTTAAAACTGGGATGTTTATACTTTGTGGAGTTTTTTTGGAGGGAAGGGTCAACAGGGTGTTCAGAGTCTCACTACTAAATCGGATTTGTAGTGATCTGCCTGTTTACAGTCCCAAGAGCTGGGATTACAGGCATATGCCACCAAATCCAATCTCAATCGCTGTCTCAACACGCCCTACTGGCTGGGCTGGCACCGGAGGTTTAGGGACCAAATCTGGGGCTCCTGCGCCTGCTTGCAGGCACGTTAATCCACTGAGCTATTTGGTCGGCCCTCTATGTGGAATTCTTTTTTTTCCTACTTGAAATTCTTTACAACATAATTTTCACATGTACACTTTACTATTTTTTTTATTTTAGCTTTTGCTTTGGATATCTCATTTACGAAAGAAAAATCAAACCCAAGACTACATATATTTAGTTTTGTAGTTTTTTTCCTTATTCTTTAAAAAAGTTTGATCTTTACTTATAAGACCCACTTTGAATAAATTACTGGGAACCACGTGAGAAACTGTTCCACACTAATTCTTATAAATGTGATTATTGAGTGTCCATCTCAGCACCATTTGTTGAGAAAATTACTATTTTCCCATTGAATTCTCATCAAATATTTATAATGGAGTTTATCATGGATATAAGTTAATTGTTCAACTGTCATCTCTAGCCTATTGATCTGTGTGTATACACTTATAATCTCATATTTTCTTGCTCACTGTAAATTTGTATCAATTTATAGATAAGAAAATGTGACACCTCAGTGATATTTACCTTACAGGTTTGCATTGATTCCTCAAGGATCTTTTTTCTAAGCAGAGATTTAAGGATCATCCTGCCAATTTATGAAAATATCAGATTAGAGATTTTGATAGGGGTTACACTGAATTTCCAGATCAATTTGGAAAGCACATCTATTTTCACAATGTTGATTCTTTGGATTCACAAATTTTTCATGTATGAAAGACTTTAATAATGTTTAAAAAAGTTTTGTAATCCTATACATGTTAGCTTCCATTTGCATTTTGAATTTATTTCTAAATATTTCATCCTTTGATGCATTTTTATGTATTTGTACAGGGTCTCACTACACAGCTTGGACTCATAGTGATCCTCTGGTGTTAGCCTCCCCAGCACTGGAATTATGGAGCGTGCCACCAAGCCTGGTCTTCATCATTTGTGTAGCCTGCCCTTGCAGCAGAGCGGGTGGGGCATGTGGTGCCTGGGTTCCAACCCTGGTCCTGGCCCTGGCCAGACCAGTGCTTAGTCTATTGAGCTACCTCACTGGCCTGTTTGATGCTTTTTAAATGGGGATTCTTTTATTTTCATTACAAATATATTAAAATACAATTGATTTATTGCCAACCTTATATTTTATCATGGTGCTTAATTTCAGTTCCACTACTCTTTTGGAATAGATTCTCTGAGACTTTTTCTGTCATTTAGACAGAATAAGCAATAATGTATTTATGCTTTCCAAAATAAAAGTCTTTATTCAGGTTTCCTGCCTGATTTTCCTAGCTAGGTCCTTCATTATGCTGTAGAATGAAAGTTAAAAAGTGGAAAACATGTATTGTCTAGTACCTTAGAGGAAATTTTTTTTACCATTATATGTAAAAGTGGCTGTGTGTCTGTATGTGTGTGTGTGTGTGTGTGTGTGTGCATGTACATGTATGTGATTGTGTGTCTGTGTGTGCTGTGGTGCCACTATTTTAACTAGAAAGAGGGTTTTTGTTTTATTCAGGATATTTCAGAAAATTGCAACCAGTGAGCTATATTTGGTGGAACGCATCACAGAAGTTAGTAGAAATTACTTTTTCTGTGTTCATGAGCTTGATATCGATAATCACTGTTACAGAATGAAACAAAAAAAAAAAAAAACTCACAGAGTTCTATGTCTTATCCATTCACATTTCTTACAGATCTCAAGTTTGTTGACATAAGAAAGTAAAAAGTTGGAAGAGAACTGGAAATCGCGGGATGAATAGGATAAAATTCTATCTCACCCTTCATTATTCAAACAAGAAATACCTATTTCAAAAGTTTTCTTCCCTTCCTTCATAGATTCCCAGAAAGAAATGACAGAAGGAAATCATTCTACAGTGATCAAGTTTATTCTTTTTGGCTTAACAGAAAAACCAGAGCTCCAGATTCCACTCTTCCTCCTCTTCCTCGGGATTTACATGTTTACAGTAGTGGGTAACCTGGGCATGATCATTCTGATTAGAATTAGTTCTTACCTGCACACCCCAATGTACTATCTCCTCAGCAGTCTGTCCTTCATTGACCTCTGCCATTCCACTGTCATCACACCCAAAATGCTGGTCAACTTTTTGGTGGAGAAAAATGGTATCACCTATGCTGAATGCATGACTCAACTCTATTTCTTTTTGGTTTTTGTTATCTCAGAATGTCACATGTTGGCTGCCATGGCTTATGATCGCTATGTGGCCATCTGTAACCCCTTGCTTTACAATGTTACCATGTCTTCTCAAGTCTGCTGCTGGATGGTAGCTGGGGTGTATGGCATGGGTTTGGTTGGTGCCACAGCTCATACAGTCTGCATGCTAAGAGTGTTCTTCTGCATGGAAGATGTGATAAACCATTTCTTCTGTGACCTTTTCCCACTACTGGAACTCTCCTGCTCCAGTACTTTTATCAATGAGGTGGTAGTTCTGTGCTTCAGTGCATTTAATATTCTTCTTCCAGTTTTGACTATTCTCAGCTCCTATATCTTCATTATAGCCAGCATCCTGCGCATCCGCTCTACTGCAGGCAGGTCCAAAGCCTTCAGCACCTGCAGCTCCCACATCTCAGCAGTTGCTGTCTTTTTTGGTTCTGCAGCATTTATGTATCTTCAGCCATCTTCAGTCAGCTCCATGGATCAAGGGAAAGTATCCTCTGTGTTTTACACCATGATTGTTCCCATGCTGAACCCCATGATCTACAGCCTGAGGAATAAGGATGTTAAACTTGCCTTACATAACAGCTTTCAAAAAATAAATTTCCTATGAAATAGAATATTTTGAGTTTACTACAATTTATGTCTATATTTATCATAAATAACCCAGAAATAACAGTATGCTTCTACATATCTTGTGGTTTCTACTAGTGCTTAATTATTTAAGACAAATTGTACTCAGGGTAAGGATAGGTTGAAAGAATAAGTCACATGGGATGACAGTTTTCTAAGAGGGCTCAGAATCCACATCCCCAGAGTAAGGTATATTTAAATTTTTTAAATTTTAAGTATGTCTTTTTGATTGATTATGCTTTGTACATATAGAATATGGCTCATCTGTTAATAATATTATAAAAATTCAGGAAATAAATATACTTGTTTCACATCATATCATTTCAATAATTTATGTTCACAGACTTCTAAACTAAGTTTATTGGCAAGCATTTTGGAAAATGTGATCTCAAAATAAACACTTTCTGCTATTTGAAGCACACAAAATATAATCCCCAATACCTACAAAAAGCATACACTGTGTTAATGTAATATCAGAGTATAAGATAGGACGTAAAACATTTGCTACCTGCAAGGACATAAAAACAAATTGGAAAATACTGACAGTAATAAGCAAATACATAAATATTACAAACATTATTTTATATGTATGTATGTATGTGACATTCTTGGGACTATACTAACATTAATTTCTGAAAATCCTATATTCCTTTTCTCATGTTCCAAACACACATGGCTTTTTTAAAAAATAATTTTATTGAGAAACAAATAGTAATGAGACAATTTAAAAACCGATTACTATCACAGTTTCCATAATTAATACATTGCATATTGTTGTCTTAGTGGTTATTCATTGTACAACATACAGACATAGCCTATCCACAAACACTATTAGAACAAATCTATGTCTTCAATGATCCAAGAGAATGCAGCTGTGTATCTATTCTAAATATTTTGAGTATACAGATACAAAAGGGTCGTTCATTTCTATCCCACTTTTTTGATTAGTTTTGTCAGAGAAGGGTATTCCATTGTCATGTAATTATTGTAGGTGCCTGAATTCAGCAAAATGTTCCAAAGTAGTACAGAACTCCAAGATAGTTGTGAGTTTTTCTTAAGACTGGCAATGACAGAAGCTGTTGACTTGGTTGGAGAGTTGTCTCAGTGGAACAAATGCTTTCAAGCAAGTGCAAGGGCCTGAGTTCAATCACCGGTTTTGCCAAAAAAGAAAAAAAAAATAGAAGTAGTTGAATTGAACATTTTACAGCTCAGCATAATAATATGCCTTTACTTTTTATTCTTATCTTTTATGTTTTTCTGCTGGATGGTTAAGATCAAGACAAAGCAAGACTTATACAGCAAGTAATGTAATTTTTGTATCTGATAAGGTCAGTCAAATCTCCTCAGGATTTATACTGAAATCCTGTACTGCAGTTTGTAGATCCTTTGTGAGAGTCAGGCATGTGGATGAGTCACAGCCATTGCTTGACGAATTTGCTGTCTGTGAAAGCCTGAGAGAATGTTTTCTCTCCATGTGACTCTCCTTATGCACATTCGACATCATCGATTACTTTCCTCTGTGGCCCCATAATCTCTGGGAACAGAAAATTTGGGACAAAACTGAGTTACATGATGATATAATACAGGTTCTCTTATGTCCTGAGTCTTCACTGATCTTGAAAGGCTAGGGCCAAATTGTTGGCTATCCTTGTAGCCCTTCTTTTTTTCTAATTTTTGGTCTACAAACTTACATTGTTAACCCTCCAGAAGAGAAGCTTATTATTACACTACAACAAATGCAGTTGAGCTTAACCTCACTGTCTGTCTGAATATAAAACATCTTAGGCATAACGTGGAACAGGTATTTTTATCAAATATTGAAATGTTAAACTTTAGTCCCTACAGAATATGAAGAAAAAAGTTAAAAGAATAAATAAAAGTTTAAAAAATAGGAATAAGCAGTAACATATTTTTAAACAGAAATTTAGAATTCTAACAATATGCAGCATTGTAGCAGGACAGTCCTATGATTTTTTTCTTGTATCATGTTTTCATTTATTATCCCCCCTTATTTAAAAAAAACATTTACTTGAGAGACAGTATGGAAGTAATTGGTATGTTGTGACAAAGAGTATGTATTTAGAAGATGAGAAAGACAGGCATGACCCTACCATTACACATTTCTATCTCCAGTGCAGTTGCTTAGTTCACAGATATCACCATATATAGTTGGTCAGGGTGAGAATTCTAACAATTAACTGCTAGTTTCAAAAACATGCTGAAGATTCTCAGGATCATTCTGTTACCCATCTTGTGAAAATAAATTTATGACTTTGCCCCTGTCATGTCTCCTAGGTTGTCTCCTTGCCCTCTCTTCATTTTATAATACTCACGTTCTCGCTTTCTTTTTAATTATGTTATATATTTTTATTGTTATTTCATCTTTTGTGTTCTTATACTAGGGAGACTATATGATAATTACACATGTGGGTCTGGTTTATTTCACTTGTGAGTCTATTTCAAGTGGTATCCACTTAAATATAAAGGCTTTGAGTTTATCATTCTTTATACGTGAGTACTACTCCATTGTACAAAAAGACCATATCATTTTCATCCATTCCTCAGGTGACCAGCACCTTGGTTGTTTCCAAGATTTGGCTATCACAAATTGTGCTGCTATAAATATAGGTATGCATATATCATTATTATATGAAGTTTTCAGTTTCTCTGAGAAAATTCCAAGTAGTTGGATAGCTGGTTTGAATGGGATTTCCAGTCCTAGTTTTTTAAGTAGACTCCACACTGATTTCCATAATGGTTGCAACAGTCTACATTCCCAAAAGCAGTGGAGAAGGGTTCCTTTTTTTCCCACAGTCTCTCCAACATTTGTTGTTGGTTGATGTCTCTATAATGGCCATCCTTTCTAAGTTGAGATGATATCAAGTGTAGTCTTAATTTGCATTTCATGGATGGTTATTTATGTGGAGCATCTTTTCATATATTTATTTGCTTTTTAAATTTTTTCCCCTGAGAAGTGTGTGTTCATTTCACATGCCCATTTCTAGATTGGGTCTTTAAATTTTGGGGCCATAATTTTTTTAGTTCTTTATAAATTCTGGAGAACAGAGCTTTATTTGACTTCTTTTTTTTTTCTTTCTTTTTTTATTTTTGTGGAACCGGGGATTGAACTCAGACCCTTGCGCTTGCCAGGCAAGCACTTATTCTACTGAGCCATCTCCCCAGCCCCCTTGGTTTCTTATTAGTCAAGATTTTTTCCAAATTTGTGGGTTGTCTTTCAATTTGTTGGGAGTTTCTTTTGATGTGCAAAATCTTTTCAATAAGAGGAGGTCCCGGTCATTAATTCTTTCAAGTATTACCCATGTGATTGGAGTTTTGTTCATGAACTCTGCCTACCCCTATGTCTTCAAAAGTTCCTCTCACTTTCCTTTCCAGGAGACTTAATGTTTCTGTTTTAACATTTAGATCTTCAATCCATTTTGATTTTAGATTAGTGCATGGTGATAGACTTGGGTCAAATTTTAGTTTTGGACATGTAGAGAGCAGTTTTTCAAGCACTGTTTGTTAAAGAGGCTATCTTTCTTTCAGGATTTTGGCCTTTTTGTCTAAGATAATGTGGTTGAGTGGATTCATACAGGCTTGTGCATCTTCTATTCTATTCCATTGATCCTCAGGTGTATTTTGTTGCCAGTACCATACTAATTTTTTCATGGTAGCTTTGTAGTGTAATTTCAAGTCAGGAATTGTGATGCCTCCTGCCTTGTCTTTGTTGCCCTGGATTGCCTTTACTACTCCAGGTCTTTTCTGATTCCAAATAAATTTTAGGAGCGATTTCTCTAGATCTGTAATGCATGTTGTTGGTAGTTTCACAGGGATTACATTAAATCTGCACAGCAATATTGGGAGTACGGCCACCTTCACAATGTTTGTTCTTCCAATCCAGGAGCATGGAATATCTTTCCATTTTCTGAAATCCTCTGCAATCTCTTTGGTTAGAATAGTGTAATTTTCTTTGAAAAGTTATTTGACTTCTTTAGTTAGATTAATTCCAAGGTATTTCCTTTTCCATGGTGCTATTGTAAAAGGTATTGTTTTTCTAATTTCCCTCTCAGTATGTTTGTTATCTGTGTGGAGGAATGCTACTGACTTTTGCGTATTGACTTTGTATCCTGCTCTGCCACTAAATTTGTGTATCAACTCTAGTAGCTTATTGGTGGAGCTCTTTGGGTTTTCCAATTAAAGTATCATATCATCTGCAAAAATGATAGGTTAAATTCTTCTTTACCTATTCTTATTCCTTTTATTTCTCTCTGTTGTCTATGGCTCTAAATAATGATCCCAGAACTATATTGCATAGGAAGGGTTAAAGAGGACATCCTTGTTTTGTACCAGATCTTAGAGGAAAAGATTTCAATTTTTTCCCATTTAGAATTACTTGAACCTTTGGGTTGGCATAGATGCTCTTATAAGATTGAAGTAGATGCCATCTATTTCAAAGTTCTATAGGACTTTGAACATGAATGAGTGTTGGACTTTATCAAAAGCCATTTCTGCATCAATTGAAATGATCATGTGTTATTTAGATTTGACTCTATTGATATAGTGTATTACATTTATAAATTTGTGTATATTGAACCATCTTTGCATCCCTGAGATGAATCCTACTTGATCATGATGTACAATCTCCTTGATGATTTCCTGTTTTGTGTTTCCTAGGATTTTATTGAGGATTTTTGCATCTATGTTCGTGAGGCAGATTGGTCTGTAGTTCTCTTTTTAGTTGCATATTTCCATGGTTTAGTACTAGTATAATACTTGCCTCCAGGAATTATTTTGGTAGGATTCTTCATTTTTCAATTTTATTGAAGAATATGAGTAGTATAGGGATTATATCTTCCATAAATTTCTTGTAGAATTCAGCTGTGAATCATTCAGGATCTAGACTTTTCTTTGTTGGTAGGTTTTTTTTTTAATTACATTTCATATTTCATTTGCTGTTATTGTGTTATTGAGAAATGTTAT